CTCCCGGCGGTTGCGGCTTGGGGCCCTGGACCCCAATCCGATCTGGATCTGGTGGTGCCGGGGTCTGGGCCATGGCGGCTGGCGAGGCAGGGGTTTCGTCGGGGCTTGTCGGCCTCTAGGCACCATGGGGGTGCCGGCGGCGACGCGTGCCCAGCGTGGTGACACTGGTGGACGTGGTGGTCATCTTCTTCCCGAGATGGCCGGCCAGAGGCTTGGTGATCGGATCTCGAGATCCATCATCTTGTCCCGGCTGCGAGTAGGGGAGACATGGTTGCCGGTGAAAACCGAGCCGATGGCAGGCGTTGGCGGCGTTCTCGCCGTTACCTTGATGAAGGCATCGTCGTGTAACTTTTGTCGACCCACTCGTGCTGCTCCGGGAGAAACCCTAGGATCTGGTGTTCCAGATCGGACGATGGCGGCACTGCGGTGTCGTTTCTCTCTTGGGAGCATCGTTTGCGGAGCACAACTGGATGTCAGAGGCAGGAGGTGGAGCGGCTTCGTCTTGCACGGAGGTTCGGTGGTGATGTCAAGTCATGCCTGACCGACAGGTGCTACGCTTTGTCATGCCTGGTCGGCAGGTGCTACGCACGACAGATCTACCAAGGACTTCAAGCTGTGTCGGCTGGTGATACCTGGCAGCATGGCGCTGAGGTGTATCAGTGGCGACCGCGACGTGCTCAGCTGTGTGCGCGCGGGGAGGAGGTGCCGTTTGGCGCCGTGGTGGCGTCGACGATAGCTAGACCGAGCAAGGTTGATGCATCAGTACAGTTCTGAAGATGGAGCGGTGGTAGTTGGCGGCGGCGGCATCTGAGTGCACGCCGGACCGGTGAGACCCATGCCCGGCAGGCGTTCTGGATGGGTTCTCAGGTCTTAGATGTTAGGTTTGGCTGTGATGTCTGTTTGGTATTAGGCCCAGACTATCTGCGCCCCTTCATCAGTTGGATAGAGGTGCTTAGACGGCGGCTTTAGTCTTACTGTTGTATTACTTTGCAAGGTCTTGTGAGAATAATTAATAAAGTGGCCGTATGCATCCGTCCAGATGCAGAAGCCGGGGGTCATCCTCCTTTTCTAAAAAAAAAATTGAAGAGCACTGCTAGTTGCGTGGGGCGATCGCTGGAGCTTTATACATCAATGTGCAGTAGGTAAACATAGTTGCATAACCAATTAGGACAAGTGCAAATTAAATACTCATGACATGACATGGCATGGTATTATCTCTAACAAGAGTTGACTTCGTTTTGCAGGAATAATGAGAGTTGACCTGACTATACAGCTGCAATAATTAGCTAGGATGACACATGTATACATACAATGGGATAGAACTTGTCACCACCTTCGCTGTTTTCCACATAATACCATGGAATATTCTAGCATAAGACAAAAGAATTTACACACTATCAACACTGCACTTGGGAAGATTGGTGGAATGGAAACAAGGCAAAATTAGACAAAAAGGCAAAGTTAGTTGTAATGTCTTTAGGGCAATGTATTTTGGCCGCACTAGCTAGCTACTTGTGACCTAGTCCTTTTCCATTACTCGATCGGAATTCTGGAAAAAACATTTCGAAATAGTTCGACCGATTCTAGACATGTCAAGTTGTGGTCTTAACACGTTATCTGAACCAATCAGCTTGTCTAGACGTTCAGAAGTCAGAACAGCAATTCAGCGGTTCACATATGAAGCAACGCGCCAATGGTTTGCAGCCCGTGGTTTGGTGACATAGCCTGTGATTCGAGTTTATTAAATTGCCTTAAAGTTGCAACCCGATGACAATGTCAAACATTGTTTCTTTCGTGTCAACAATATAAGCCAACTGTTTTGTGTATCCTTAATAATTATACCGCCCGGCTCTCTTCTAGCAGGCACCATTTTGTTTGTGTATTCATTATTTACTAATGATGTCTATCTGTTAAGCTCACAATAAGAAGTCTAACAATGTGAGCATTATCATAGACGTCCTAGAGTTTTTACACAAATAGTATAGTAGCAGTTTAGAATACTAAAGTAGTGATCTAAACGCTCTTATATTAGTTTACGGAGGAAGTAGTTCACAGTAGATTTTTTTGAGCTCCTCCTTCTTCTCTGCAGTTGAGATTTTATAGCTTCGGATCGATCTAAACTTGATCATCTGGGCACAAGATTAAGCCTAAAACTTGCCAAGGGAAGCCAAGTGATGCATGCATGTTCTATTGCTCCTCGGTATGCTGGACCAAACATTTTGAAATAGTTGGACTGAGTCTGAACCAATCAGCTTCCCCGGACGTTCAGAAATCAGAGCACAGGTTCGTAGTCAAAGATAAGGCTGATCAAGTGTTCTTGGCATTGGTGGCATTTGAGGTTAAATTATCAGCAAGTTGCAACCACGATGCCATTGCCGACAAGGCCAACTAGGTGCAGGCATTAGGCATTATACAGGTTGTTGGGAGCTAGGGTTCTGCCCGGTCTTGCCGGCAGTAGGGGAAAGAGGGGGCTGGGCGTGGCGATGAGCGGCCGCGCCGGCGGCTGGGCGCCGTCGCAGGAGAGGAGAAGGGCGGCGGCTAGGGCTGATGGCGGCTAGGGTTTCCGGCTCCTACGGGAACCGGGCAATAGGAGATAATATTCTTCTTATTGCTTACCTTCAAAAAAAGTCTTACAACCTATATTTATATCCTAGATAACTTGTAGAAAAATCAACCTAAGATAACTTGCCTAAGATAACTTGCCTAATCTGAAAATAAAAACTAAGATAACTTGCGGGCCTAAGCTGGCCGGCCATAACACTTCTCCCCGCCTGCACAAACAGCTCGTCCTCGAGCTGTAAGGTGGGGAAGCGCTTGCTTGAACTCTTCGAGGTAATCAACCAGCGTCAAACACCTTCTCGACATCTGGGGCGGCCAGGTCGGCAACGACGGCGTCCTCCGGAACGTAGTCTGCCACCTCCAGGTAGAAGAGTCGCGGGCAGGCGTGGCCGGGCTTGTAGGGTTCGTCGCACTTGAAGCACAACCCTTGGCGGCGATGCTCGAGTATCTCGGCTGGGGTGAGCCGGCGGAACGGGCACCCCGCGGTCGCGGCGAGGGCTGCCGCAGAAGCCTGCACAGGCCGACCCTGCGCGGAATTCGGTCCGGGTAGCGACCCAGCAGTCTGGGACGGTGATTCCTGCTGGATGGCCACCGCGCGGCGCTCGAACGCGCGGGCGTAATACATGGCCGACTGGAGATCCTGGGGTCCCCGAAGCTCCACGTCCATGCGGATATGGTCCGGTAGACCGCCCACAAATAACACGGCGCGCTGAGTTGCGGAGACGCCCGGCGCGTGGCACGTCAGGGCCTGGAAGCGCGGCGGTGAGGCTACAGGCTGCTGCGCGCAGCCTCCTAGCGCGTCGGCGTGTGCGGGAGATGCGTGGTCTGCAGTTGCCGCTCCTCCAAGTTGTCCTTCGCTGCGCAAAGGACCTCGATCTCGTCCCCACGGACAGCGACCTCAAAGTCTGCGACATCGGCGGTTGGGGGGCGCACCCTTCCTCGTCATTCTCCATCGCAAGCCCTCCACTCTTCTCTGTGCGGTGCAGACCAACAGCCGTCCGGCGGGGAGAAGGCAGGGTGTCACCGACAGGAGGGCACCACGTCCCAACTGCTACAGTGGCTGGTTTCCATGGGATCCAGGTGGCTGTACACGTGCACGTCCGACGTGCGAATGGTGTCCACTTTTTGTTAAGGGGTCCAAAATAAAGCGTCCCAGTCCATTTCAAGTTGAGAGTAATAAACCAAGCCGAGATATAAAATGCTTGTTTTTAGGTGTTAGGTTTGTGTTGCGTCGAGTCATGGTTATAAGTTGGTTAGGGTGCAGTTCGAGGACAAGCTGCATGTCCAGGTGGGGTGTAGTGTTAGAGTACGTAATGGGGCTAATGGGCCCGTTAGTCTTAGGGTTAATTAGAGATAAGAGTCGCTTGCTTAGGGGTCAAGTAAGTCTTGCTTGGGAGTCAAGTAAACATCTTTATATAAAGAGGGGAGATGTATCAATCTAATCAAGCAAGAATTAATAAGGAAATCCCTTCCCTCTTGCCCGGCCGTGGGCAAAAAGGCTCCCGGCCGGCCCTCTCGCGTCTTCCTTCTAGCAGCGCCATAACACAGGTCGGCTCTCCTGTAATTAATTACTAATGATGATGTCTGTTAAGCTTGCAGAAAGACAACTATTATGCAAACATTAATGCAGCCATGGACAACAGCATCTGACGGTGAGAGCAAAGCAATACGTGCGTCAAAATAACTGATTAAAACCAGAATGCTGACACTTCGCTGTTCTATGGAGCTGCTTCTGAGGACGCAACCACTCATTTCCTAAATTCCCATCCAATCCCTGTATTTAAGAGGTGCTGGATGGATCCTCTGCTCGCTGAGGAGCCAACCACTCATCCCATCCCTGCAGCGTCTTGACTCCGATCCAGGTAAGCTCAAGTGTCACTGCTCTTGCTTCCAACTAGTTTCTTCTCCCTTTTGTCTGCAAAGAATATTGTCATGAAAATAAAGCGGTTGTTATGAAATATTTGATGTTTAGATATTGCCCACTTCTTCTAGAAATATTTTTTACTGTTACCTTTTGTCTTACTGAAGGCTCTCTTCAAAAAGGATAACAACACCCAATGGATTATGTGTCCAAGAAAATGTCCTTGTTGGATGCAAAGCCTATCCAATTGCATTTGCTAAAGACAATCACAGAGGATTTTTCAAAGAAGTTGAAAATTGGTAGTGGTGGCTATGGAGAAGTTTACAAGGTAGGCATGGTTACTCATATTATGTTTAATCTGTTCTAAATGATCATATTATACTTTTTGTTATTATCGGATGGTACCTCTAACCTCTAACAATAGCCCAAACCTTAATCAATATGAACAGCAGAACAGGGAGTGCTTAATGGGCACGAAATTGCTATCAAGAAGCTTTTTCCCGTCCATGGAGTTGATGATGAGGCATTTGATAATGAATTTCGCAACCTTAAGAAAGTTCAGCATAAAAATGTCATACGGATGATTGGGTATTGCTATGAGATAGCACATAAAGATGTTGAGTACCAAGGAAAATTGGTTTGGTCTCAAGTAATAGATCGAGCTCTCTGCTTTGAATATATGAAGGGAGGAAGCCTTGCCAAGCATATTTCTGGTATGATGGTGCCCTACCTAAAATTTAGTTATACTATCATCTAGCTTGCAATCAAAATATGATTATGCCATGTTGAGTCTATGACATAGACATCTCTTTTTCCTTCTGCAGCCGAGTCATGCATACATAATTGGCCGATCACGTACAAAATAATTAAGGGGACATGTGAGGGCCTCCACCACCTTCATAAAGGAGGAGAAAAGAAGATTTTTCATCTAGACTTAAAGCCGGATAATGTATTGCTGGATGAAGAATTGGTGCCTAAAATAGGAGATTTTGGTTTGTCCGAGCTCTTTGGGTCCTCGTATACCCACCAACAAAGCAGCACGAAAGGAACAATGTAAGTTGATAATCGGTGTGTGTGTAGATAGCCCAATTCAGTTTATATATCTTCTTATGAGAATATATATGTCGTACTTGTATCACACTAACTAGTGTACTTCCATGCGGCCGATGCTCATGTTTTCACGCAGTGGGTTCATGCCACAAGAATATATACACAATCGCAAGGTGTCACCCAAGAATGACGTGTTCAGTCTCGGAGTCATAATTTTCCACATAATGGTGGGAGAAAAGGGCTACAGCGATTATTGGGATGCGCGCCGTCGTCCAAATTTTTCCTCAAAAATTCAACATAAGTTTATTGAGAGTGTAAGAATATTTCTTTGCCCCTTTTCAGCTTAAGGGATTGTTGTGCATATACCTAGGACTTGGGCCGTGCAGCTCAGCCCGAACTCATCATGCTTCGGGCCATGGCAAACAAGGTCAGCCTGGCCTGGTTTACTTACCGTGCCGTGCGGCCATGCCAAGGGGAGGCCCAAGCACGACCCAATGGCCCACCATGCTGCCTTCGGGTCGGGCCAGCCCAAGCACGGCCCAGTACAATCACTAATTAAGGCGCCATATGAACTATATTAGTACATATTTATCTGAAAAGACCTAATTGTTGTTGTTGTTTTGTGGGGGCCTAATTTTTGTTTACAAGAACATAACTACATTATATAGGTTCTCTTAATAGTGACAACATGCTTTTACAAAGATTTCAAACCCAACCAAGCCGGACGGTCCAAGCTCAACCTGCATCATCATGTTGGGTTGCGCTGCCCATTGTCTCAATTTTCAGACCCAGCCCAACCCAGTTTGTTGTGTCTTGCCAACCCGGCCCATTTAACATCGTGTCGTGTCGTGCATGGGACCGTACTGTGTCGGCTGGGTTTTGTGCCAGCCCAGAAAAGCCCGGCCCAAGTCCCAGCTTTTAGTTGTGCCTTACCCATGTTTATGATGCAAGTGATACATACACAATATATGTTGCAACTTGACAGGTACAAGAATATTGGAAGAAAAAGATGGAGACAATGGAAGGTTATAGATGGGACGAAACAGATCTGCTAGGAGTAACGAGATGTATTGACATGGCAATGCGTTGTGTGGAGGACGACCGAGACAAAAGGCCTTATATAAAGGACATTATCAACGAGCTCAACAAACTAGATTCTGAAGTCTCAGAGATGTTAAAGAAAGATCCGAAACCACCTATTGGCCAGCTGGTATAGTATATAACCTTCATACTCACGTCCGTGCTCATATATGTTGACCTCATATACGTAGCTGAACACACATTCTATCACTGAGAGTGAACCCCTTAAACTTTTGCCTTTGCAGAAAAGGAAAAACCGTGTCAATGATTTGGAAGCCGTGAAACAGAATAAAAGCTTCAAATATTTGGGAAAAGATATTGTGGTTGATCCATCCCAGGAGCTTTGTTTCCCTTTCGAGTCAAATAAGAACACACTAGTAGAAAACAGGGCTTTGATCCAGGCCGGGTCAGCCCATTAGTCCCGGTTCAGTTCAGAACCGGGACCAATGTGGGCATTGGTCCCGGTTCGTGAGCCCAGGGGACCGGCCGAGCCACGTGGGCCATTGGTCCCGGTTCATCTGGACCTTTGGTCCCGGTTGGTGGGATGAACCGGGACCAATGGGCCTCGCTCCTGGCCCACCACCATTGGTCCTGATTGGTGGCTTGAACCGGGACCAAAGGCTCCCCATTAGTCCCGGCTCATGCCACCAACCGGAACCAATGAGGTGTCTATATATGTTGGGGAACGTAGCAGAAATTCAAAATTTTTCTACGTGTCACCAAAATCTATCTATGAAGAGACTAGCAACGAGGGGAAGAAGAGTGCATCTACATACCCTTGTAGATCGCTAAGCGGAAGCGTTCAAGTGAACGGGGTTGATGGAATCGTACTCGTCGTGATCCAAATCACCGATGATCCTAGTGCCGAACGGACGGCACCCCCGCGTTCAACACACGTACAGCCCGGTGACGTCTCCCATGCCTTGATCTAGCAAGGAGAGAGGGAGAGGTTGAGGAAGACTCCATCCAGCAGCAGCACAACAGCGTGGTGGTGGTGGAGGAGCGTGGCTATCCAGCAGGGCTTCGCCAAGCACCACGGGATATGAGGAGAAAGAGAGGGAGGGCTGCACCAACAGGGAGAGATCTAATCGCGTGTCTTGTGCAGCACCTAGGCCTCATATATATAGGGGAAGGGGAGGAGGGTGCGCCCCCTCTAGGGTTCCCACCCCTAGAGGGGCGGCATCCCTAGATGGGTCTTGGGGTGGCGGCCAAGAGGGGGAGGAGAGGGAGGCGCAGGGAGCATGGGCCTTAGGGCCCATCTGCCCTTAGGGTTTGCCCCCTCTCCCCTCTAGGCGCATGGGCCATGGTGGGAGGCGCCCCAGCCCACCTAGGGGCTGGTGCCTTCTCACACTTGGCCCATGTATGCCTCTGGGGCCCATGCCCCCCCCGGTGGACCCCCGGACCCCTCCGGTGGTCCCGGTACATTACAGATAAACCCCGAAACTTTTCCGGTGACCAAAACAGGACTTCCCATATATAAATCTTTACCTCCGGACCATTCCGGAACTCCTCGTGACGTCCAGGATCTCATCCGGGACTCCGAACAACATTAGGTAACCACATACAAACTTCCTTTATAACCCTAGCGTCATCGAACCTTAAGTGTGTAGACCCTATGGGTTCGGGAGACATGCAGACATGACCGAGACGTTCTCCGGTCAATAACCAACAGCGGGATCTGGATACCCATGTTGGCTCCCACATGTTCCACGATGATCTCATCGGATGAACCACGATGTCAAGGACTTAATCAATCTCGTATACAATTCCTTTTGTCTATCGGTACGATACTTGCCCGAGATTCGATCGTCGGTATCCCGATACCTTGTTCAATCTCGTTACCGGCAAGTCTCTTTACTCGTTCCGTAACACATCATCCCGTGATCAACTCCTTGATCACATTGTGCACATTATGATGATGTCCTATCGAGTGGGCCCAGAGATACCTCTCCGTCACACGGAGTGACAAATCCCAGTCTCGATTCGTGCCAACCCAACAGACACTTTCGGAGATACCCGTAGTGCACCTTTATAGTCACCCAATTACGTTGTGACGTTTGGCACACCCAAAGCACTCCTACGGTATCTGGGAGTTGCACAATCTCATGGTCTAAGGAAATGATACCTGACATTAGAAAAAGCTTTAGCATACGAACTACACGATCTTTGTGCTAGGCTTAGGATTGGGTCTTGTCCATCACATCATTCTCCTAATGATGTGATCCCGTTATCAACGACATCCAATGTCCATGGTCAGGAAACCGTAACCATCTATTGATCAACGAGCTAGTCAACTAGAGGCTTACTAGGGACATGGTGTTGTCTATGTATCCACACATGTATCTGAGTTTCCTATCAATACAATTCTAGCATGGATAATAAACGATTATCATGAACAAGGAAATATAATAATAATAAATTTATTATTGCCTCTAGGGCATATTTCCAACAGTCTCCCACTTGCACTAGAGTCAATAATCCAGTTCACATCGATATGTGATTAACACTCAAGGTCACATCCCCATGTGACTAACACCCAAGAGTTCTGGGTTTGATCATGTTATGCTTGTGAGAGAGGTTTCAGTCAACGGGTCTGCAACATTCAGATCCGTATGTACTTCGCAAATTTCTATGTCATCTCCTAGATGCAGCTACCACGCTCTATTTGGAGCTATTCCAAATAACTGTTCTACTATACGAATCCAGTTTACTACTCAGAATAATCTGGATTAGTGTCAAAGTTTGCATCGGCGTAACCCTTTACGACGAACTCTTTTACCACCTCCATAATCGAGAAAATTCCTTAGTCCACTAGTTACTAAGGATAACTTTGACCACTGTCCTGTGATCTATTCTTGGATCACTCTTGTACCCCTTGACTGACTCATGGCAAGGCACACTTCAGGTGCGGTACACAGCATAGCATAATGTAGAGCCTATGTCTTAAGCATAGGGGATGACCTTCGTCCTTTCTCTCTATTCTGCCGTGGTCGAGCTTTAAGTCTTAACTTCATACCTTACAACTTAGGCAAGAACTCCTTCTTTGACTGGTCCATCTTGAACACCTTCAAGATCATGTCAAGGTATATGCTCATTTGAAAGTACCATTAAGCGTTTTGATCTATCCTTATAGATCTTGATGCTCAATGTTCAAGTAGCTTAATCCAGTCTTTCCATTGAAAAACACTTTCCAAATAATCCTATATGCTTTCCAGAAATTCTACATCATTTTTGATCAACAATATGTCAACAACATATACTCATCAGAAATTCTATAGTGCTCCCACTCACTTCTTTGGAAATACAAGTTTCTCATAAACTTCGTATTCACCCAAAATCTTTGATCATCTCATCAAAGCATACATTCCAACTCTGAGATGCTTACTCCAGTCCTCAGAAGGATTGCTGGAGCTTTGCATACTTATTAGCATCTTTCAGGATTGACAAAACCTTTCGGTTGTATCACATACAACCTTTCCTCAAAAATCGTCGAGGAAACAATGTTTTGACATCCTATCTGCAAGATTTCATAAATAATGCAGTAATTGCTAATATAATTCCAACAGAATCTTAGCATCGCTACAAGTGAGAAAGTCTCATCATAGTCAACTCCTTGAACTTGTCGGAAAACATCTTAACGACAAGTCGAGCTTTCTTAATGGTGATACTTACCATCATTGTCCGTCTTCCTTTTAAAATCCATCTGTACTCAACAGCCTTACGACCATCGAGCCGTTCTGCCAAAGTCTACACTTTGTTTTCATATATGGATCCTCTCTCGGATTATATGGCCTCGAGCCATTTATCGGAATCCGGGCCCACCATCGCTTCTCCATAGCTCGTAGGCTCATTGTTGTCTAGCAACATGACTTCCAAGACAGGATTACGTACCACTCTGAAGTAGTATGCATTCTTGTCATCCCACGAGGTTTGGTAGTGACTTGATCCAAAGTTTCATGATCACTATCATAAGCTTCCACTTCAGTTGGTGTAGGTGCCACAGGAACAACTTCCTGTGCCCTGCTACACACTAGTTGAAGTGAAGGTTCAATAACCTCATCAAGTCTCCACCATCCTCCCACTCAGTTCCTTCGAGAGAAACTTTTCCTTGAGAAAGGACCCGATTCTAGAAACAATCCCTTATTGCTTTCGAATCTGAGACAGGAGGTATACCCAACTGTTTTGGGTGTCCTATGAAGATGCATTTATCCGCTTTGGGTTCGAGCTTATCAGCCTGAAACTTTTTCACATGAGTGTCGCAGCCCCAAACTTTTTAAGAAATGACAGCTTAGGTTTCTCTAAACCATAGTTCATACGGTGTCATCTCATCGGAATTACGTGGTGCCCTATTTAAACTGAATGTGGTTGTCTCTAATGCCTAACCCATAAACTATAGTGGTAATTCGATAAGAGACATCATGGTATGCATTATATCCAATAGGGTGCAGTTATGATGTTCGGACACACCATCACACTATGGTGTTCCAGGCTGTATCAGTTGTGAAACAATTTCCACAATGTCTTAATTCTGTGCCAAACTCGTAATTCAGATATTCATCTCTATGATCATATCATAGATCTTTTATCCTCTTGTCACGACGATCTTTCAACTTCACCCTGACATTACTTGAACCTTTCAATAATTCAGACTCGTGATTCATCAAGTAAATATACTCAACATCTACTCAAATCATCTGTGAAGTAAGAACATAACGATATCCACTACATGCCTCAACACTCATTGGACTGCACACATCAAAATGTATTACTTCCAACAAGTTGCTTTCTAGTTCCATTTTACTGAAAACGAGGCTTTCAGTCATCTTGCCCATGTGGTATGATTTGCATGTCTCAAGTGATTCAAAACCAAGTGAGTCCAAACGATCCATTTGCATGGAGTTTCTTCATGCATATACACCAATAGACATGGTTCGCATGTCTCAAACTTTTCAAAAATGAGTGAGTCCAAAGATCCATCAACATGGATCTTCTTCATGCGTTTTGTACCGATATGACTTACGTGGTAGTGCCGCAAGTAGGTGGTACTATCATTACTTATCTTTTGGCATGAATATGTGTATCACTACGATCGAGATTTCAATAAATCATTCATTTTAGGTGCAAGATCATTGAAGG